GTGTGTACAATTCCGCGATGGGCACTCAACTCTCTCGTACACCCGTGTGTACGAGAAACATGCGAGAGGATATAAGCGATCTGTTTAGTACTTTTTAACCGTTATATATAATGCTTCCAAGTGAATATACATCTCAATCAAACTTTTGTATCGATAGTCACAAATATATAAAAAAAAACTCACGTACCCATAACGCCGTGAGTAGTGCCCAAGTGCTGCACGGATACCCCATTTATTATATGGTCGCTACTTTCTGAAACAGCGGAAATCCCCAGATAAGTTCCGCTAAACGCCGTGGCATGGCCAATAATTTGAATGATCCAGTATTTTTGCGACTTCTTTGAGTACACAAAATTGTGTTCGAAGCCCTTGTGAGGGTTAACTGACAGCAGTGCTTGACTCCAAAGTAGTGTAAACTGTAATTGAAATAAAGATAAATAAGTGAAATGTAAACTCATTATCTTAAAATAAATAAAGGTCAATATTACAATAAAAGTGGCTCTTAAATTAACTACATATAAAATTTATCTCATTTGTTAAATAAGTACATGTAAGTTACTGGAGTAGACGATTTAAATTTTTTAACAATGTTCCATCCGTAATATTTTTGTCTCTCAAGCCAAATTTGGAATAAAGTGTATTTCGTCGGGGATAGTGTTAATCCGCGAATCTACCATACGTAAAGGCCGCATATCTGCAATATATCCAGTTTTACTGGGGAAGGTTAAAACTTAACAACATTGTTTATTCAATGAATTTGTAGCTCATTTTTACAGAGTTAAAATGAACTCGTGTCAAGGCAAGCCAATTAAGATTTTGCCGGATTTTTCCGCGAAAACTTGAATTAGCTACATTTTTCAGATACGCGGAATTAAGCAATGCTAGTTCCGGGGATTTGCACTATCCCTGACGACATGTATAAGTGCAAAGAATGTTGCTTACCCCAGTTACTGTTATATAGACGTGGGCCATCTGCTTATCGCTGTATCTGGTAGGGGATAACGGATAGCGGGGGATCGCTTATCGCAAACGAAAGGAACGCAACTGCGCCTATGAACAAGAGAGAGAGCGTATTTATTGCATTTAAGCATCCCATGTAGAACGAAGGTTTTGTAGGATGTCCCATTTCGTCAACAAATGTATCAACACCAACTTGTACGATATACTCGACACTGTCCAGTAACAAACACTGACATCGCAATAAATATTCGACGAGTAGATCTGGTATCTATCGATCACTTTGATATCTTGCTAATAACAAAAAGATTATTCTGTCATTTCAAGCAAAAGTATCTGATGATAATTTTAACTCGTCGAGTACCGGTTTTATAGACACAATTAAAGAACAATAGGTCGCGGTCACCGGTGACCGCTTGGTGTTTGACAGTTTAACATACAATTATCCTCAATTAAGAATTTAGACAACAATTTGAGGCGGATACAAATCACCTTTTCATGTGTAGAGGTACAGTATTGGGCAGAAAGTGATTCAGAAATATTAAGCATTAAAATATAGAGAAGGGCCTTTATAAGAAGGGGCTTTTTCTCAAAGTTCAGATTTTAAATGATTTAATAACGAAGACAAAAATTCAATTATTAAAAGTATGATAAAGTGTTACATTATGATCCTGCTCAATGTTATTTGATGATCCATCAAAATATAACACACTTTCATTTTTTTCTTATTAACTTCAAATTACAAAATTTGTTGTTCTTTTCATTAGCAAACAATAAAAGCAAGTTATTAAATAATAATATGTATATACAATATTGTGCCCGGTATACGGCAATAGGCTCACCCGCATGGGACTCATAACATAAATTGTGAAAGGACATTGTACAGTGGCATGAAGTGCCGTAATGTGCACCTATGCTTACCCATTCGGGGACAAATGGCGTGATGTAATGTAAGTGTTAAGTAATAAGATTTTATCCTTGTTAAATTATTTTTTTGTTATTTTTTATATGATGAGTTTATTTAAGTTTAGGTTTCTGTTCCTGTGGCCATCTTCTAGTTCCATCATCAAACAATGATTTCTATTAAGCAAAAAACGTACAATTGGGATGATGACAAGGTATGAAAATTAAAATTATAATTACTCCGTAGGTTAGGTAATGAAAAAATATTATACACGTATTTTTTTATTTTGTCGTAAAATAAAACAATACTTAGATAAAACGAATCAAAGTTTGGGAGTGATGCTAAAACGTCATTTCTACGTATAAAATGTACATAGAAGTGACGTCACGCGACATTTCAAATCAATATATCGTTAAAAGTACTTATTCGTTTCAACTGTAAGAAAAAAAATACGTGTCTAATGATTTAAAATAATCTACCAGACGGACATTAAAATGGCATCTAACCTATTCAGCTCAATGGGAGCACGAGAAGTAGATCCAATCTTAAAGTACTACAAACAGATTTTAAAAATCAGCTTGTAAATGAAAAGTGTATTGATTAAGTATTTTTGATTTTGGTATGTTATAGCAATTTCTTTAACAATTTTGTGTGTCTTGCCAAGAAAATCAATAACTTCAGAGATTCAGTAAGTCTAAAGGTCCAGCCTTTAGGCAGATACCATTTAGTTGTAATATTTTGACCCTGTATTGGTGTTACATTGTTCTCAAACTGCATTTTAAAGTCAAAAAGTTAAAGTCAAAGCCATTTATTTCATTTGTCCTTAATTAGGCACTTTTGAAACGTCTAAAACTACGCCACTTACTGTATTACAGACCTCATTTCCGATGTTTAGGGACTACTTTTGTATGTACAAATTTTGTGGATTTTTCGTAAGACGTACTATCAAGTGATTAAGATTCAATAAATATTTCTTGGTAATTTATTATAACAATTAACACATAATCCCATTTTTTTATGGTATAAGCCGTTAAACGAGCGGACAGATCACCTGTTGGTAAGCAATCGGCGTCGCCCATGGACACCTGGAACACCAGAGGCATTGCAAGTTCGTTACCGACCTTTTGGGGATTAGGAATTTGAGGATTGTTCGGAATTCAGGGATTGGGGGGAGGGGGGTAAATGGCCCTCCGTTAACCTCACTTACACGACGAAACACAACGCAAGCATTGTTTCACGTCGGTTTCCTGTGTGGCCGTGGTATCACTCCGCTCGAGCCGGCCCATTCGTGCTGAAGCATGGCTCTCCCACACCTAAAATACTGTAAGGATGTTTATCCTTTCAAATTGTTCTCTTAGAGGTTCCAAATATATTTCTCGATTAACTCGTTTTTGCAAAATAAAAATCGTTTCTACATTCACAGCTCGACCCCACAGCAAAATGCCGTAGGACATAATGCTGTGAAATAACTAAAATAGACAGGGCTTGCTGTATTTACGTCTGTAAACTGCTTATTTTGCCTAAACTCATAAGCAGCTGAGCTAAATCTCCCGAAAAGTGCTGGTATGTGATGCCCCAATTGTGATCTAAAAAAAACAAAAAACATTGTGCCACCTAAAAATGCAGTCTCTCCAACAAATTCCAACTTTTGTCCGTTTAAAACAACGTCACATTCTTTACTTTTCACGTTTGGCAAGCTAAATTTAATGCATTCAGTTTTTTTCTCATTAAGCGCCAAGTTATTCATCGTGAACTAATTATGGACTATAGAACTGATAGACAAAGAATAACCGAGGAGTTTCTTACTCCTTCTTTTTCCGTATAAAATACATAGATGAACAAATAGGAACGAGCTTCACTAGGTGACCGATAAACGGGCAGATACTTTTATTCTTTAATATTTAAATGTGCCTTATATTGATCGATTTGACTTGGACTTTGATAAACACTATTATATCAATGGAATTTAATGAAACAGGACACACTGCCTGCGTGACGTAAACGATAATCGTCTGCGTCATCATGAATCAGTATTGAAAGCAACATAGTTAAGAAAAAAATAATGTCAAGTCTCACTATCGTAAGCGGAATGAAATAAAATCACGTAAACATAACTGCTGAGAAAAGCTCTGCTAGTTTCAAATCCCAGAGAGTTCCTGATGAGCAGCGTGTGCGGTTACGGCGAGGTCGCGCAACCTACTAGTAGAACTTTTCTTAGGATATTTACGTGACTAACGTAATTATGAGTCAATCAAGTCTCACCATTGAGGAGGTTTTTTTAAGGTGGAAAATCATCGAACTACTTCTCCTGCCTAGGCGAGGCGGGAGGCAGTGTTAAACTTTCTCTTACTGACTATAAACCACCCCTTCCTAATCTTTTATGTCCTCCGCGGCTCCGTATCGGTATCACTCCTATTGGTCCCCATCCGTGGTGGCTTGATAGCTCTTTGAGGCGTGCGCGGAACGCGACAAGCCGTACGCTTGGGTCTAGTTCTGGTCGGGCGGCGAGCTACCTGTGCTCGCCGTCCGCAGGCCCGTGCTTACGGTGGCCGGAGATCGACCCGCGATCCCCGACGCCTGGAGTGTCCTTCGCGACGCACGGCTGGGCTGTGATGAGGAAGCACTTCGCTGCCTCACACGGCCCGTTGAAGAGGTACACTAGTCAACAACTTTTTTTCCTCTTCTAGATCGAATTATGTTGTTGAGATAGGTCGTTATTCATGTATGAGGAAAATGAAAAAAAACGCTATCTTATGATATATTTTTAATATTCAAAAGTGTCATGATAAAACATCTTACTTGATAAACTTATAAGACACATTAGTACGTACGTCCTTATTTAAGTCTTCGGTCTTTCTATCCTTTCTTACCAGCTAAACAATGCTTACAATATAGTAAAGGGTTAGTAAACAAACTACAGATTAAGATTTGACGAGTGTTTATCGTATTGATCTATACGTAATTATAATAAAACATAATAGGTCCTTATTTCAAAATCCTGTTGGGGAAAGACCAGGATAGAAAAATAAGAATATTTTTTGTTTTTCAATAACAAACACACTCGTAGTCTTTTACACACTCATAGTTTGTTAATCAGCAGTTTCTGTGAGAATTATAATTTTTATAAACTAAATTCTAATTAAGACTTAATACTACCAGTCACAACCACTCGGGCACCAGTCATGACTACCAACGCAACAAATGGTAAGATAGCAAAAACCAAACCGACAGTTATTGCAACAGTACCACTACGATAAATGACTGCGTTCCTAGCAGCTCTGTCAAACTGTAACACCATTGCTACATAGGTCATTATTATAGTGAGAGTTCCTACAATCACATACAAACTCTTCGTAGAACTTGTTAATTTTTCCTCTAACAGTAAGTTTGTAATAGCACCAACTAGAGTCACAGCAGTCAATATCGAAGCTACGAAACCTGAAAGAAAAACAAACGGAATTAATTATAAATGAATATACCTCTCACTTTTAAACACACGATTGATATGCAATATTCAACCTTATGACCACTACACTTCTGTTAACACTTAATACTCAACACACCTATGTACCTATATGCGAGAATTAAGTGTACTAGACGTAAATGTACGTGTGACGTCAGGACACACCGATTTATGGGATTGGGTGGCAGACAAGCATAATCGTTGCCTGAAAGTAAGCCATCGACACCCCAACACCAAAAGTGTTACAAGTACAAACGTTATCAGCCCTTTGGGTTATAGGGATTTCAGGACTGGGGCTGTAGGCGACGAGGGAGAATTAAGCGTTGATTCACGTCAGAATTCTGTAAAACTATTTAATAGAAAGTATTGTTTTCTTGTATACAGATTCAATAGAAGGAATTTTAGTTTCAGTACAAACAAAAATTCACATGTGAAGTGAGAACAATGAGAGTAAGGACCTGCAAAATCCCAATACTATCTTCTCTCCTCTAGAACTGGCGTTTCTATATTGTTTGTATTCTTCCGTTCATGAATAAATAAGTATATTTTCAATGAAGATTACGATTTATATGAATATATTCAAATTTGAGACTGCCTCGTTGGCCGAGTGGTCGTAAGTGCGACTGTCGGACATGGGGTCTCGGGTTCGATTCCCGGGTCGGGCAAAGTATTACTGGGTTTTAAAAAAAATCTCAGTACTAGCACGGAGTCTGGAATTGTGCCCGGTATATGGCAATAGGCTCACCCCCTATTATATGGGACTTATAACATAAATAGTGAAAAGTGGGTGTTACATTGTACAGTGTCATAATGTGCACCTTTGCCTACTCCTTCGGGGATAAACGGCGTGATGTTGTGTTATGTTATTCAAATTTACTTACCAACCATTCCATGAGGATAATATATTAACCCCGGGGCGATTCTACCAGGCATTGCGGCTATCCCCAGCCAAGCTCCGACTAACGTCAGGGTACAACCAATTATCTGTATGATCCAATAAAGTTTCGATTTCTGTGGGTACATAAAATTGTCTTGGAATCCCACATGTGGGTTAACTGACAATATCGCTTGACTGCATAGGAGTGTTACCTGCAATAAATAAAATTATGAACATAAGTAAACTACATTTACTTCCCTCAAAATTGGGATCGTATATAAATATATTGTTTACGATAATATAATTCATATAGTTTACGAACAAACTCATTTTATTCTTAATTAAAAACTATAATAATTTCGTCAGACTAAAAAAATATGATCTATGAAATTATTAAATAAGTACGGTAGGTAAGGTATTTAACTGTCTTTAGAAACGATTCGACTTATTTGTTTTTAACGGTGTTTCACAACGTAACGTTCTTCAAAGAAAACTTGGATTAGATACAAAGAATGCTGCTTACCCCAATGACAGTAATATAGACGTGAGCGTTGTACACTGATGGATTAGATTCCTCTACTAGTGCAAACGCAAGTATGGCAGCTGCGCCCATAAGTACATGTGAAAACGTACTCATCGCATTCATACACCCTACGTAGAACGAAGGTTTTGTAGGATGCCCCATTTTGTCAATAAATGAATCAACACCAACTTGCACGTTATACCTGACACTGTCCAGTAACAAACACTGACATCGCAATAAATATTCGACAAGTAGATCTATCGATCACTTTGATATCTCGCTAATAGTACGAAGTTTAATTCGCCGTATTGAAGCAAATATTTCTGATGATAATCTTGCCACAATATATTATCCTCAATTATAAATTGGTGAATAATGCCGTTTTTATCTTATAGAGGCAAACATATCCAATTCCAGATTTGGAAATTTTCTTCATCCTCTTCTTTAAAAAAAAAACGTTGCTCCACACTAGGATTTTCTCCTGTGTCGAGTGCGTTTACAAACATAAAAGTTCACAAACACATGACACCCAGACCCGGAAAAACGATCTGTGGATCACACAAAGAGTGGTTTCGCGGGTTCGATTCCCGCGCGAAATTGTAAAGCAAATTATAAATATTCCTTCATCAAAAGTTTTATTATGGAATAGAAGGCAAACCAGCAGACCGATCACCTGATGTTTAGCACTTAGCGCCGCCCGTGGACGTCCGCACCGCCAGAGGAGTCACAGGTGCGTTGCCGGCCTTAGCGTTGTTTTTAAAAAGGAATACGTTTTTTTCTTGAAAGTTTGAAGGTCGTATTGGTTTAGAAATATCGCCGATGACAGATCATTCCACAATTTAGCTGTGCGAACCAGAAAATTCCGGGAAAAGTGCACCATTGTGACCATCTATATGATGGCGATGAAAATGCTGTTGTGTGGCGTTGGCGAAAAGATGCGGCAGGTATCATACCAAACCATTCCTAACACCACTCACCGTGGTATAAGCGATAAAAAATGCACACTGAAGCTACATCTCTACGGATTTCCAAAGTTTCTAGCCTGTGTAAAATATTGCGGCACCCAAAAATTCAAACTGCTCACTGGTACACCACTAACAGGCATCGCCTGTTCTATCATCTGCAGAACAATGAATGCCGCTGATTTGCAGCATGTCATTGACATGGACGAGGAACAATGTAGGCGACAGCACGCAACCTTGAGAGACACCTGCGTTTACAGATAGGAAGTCAGAGTATTCACCGTCGACAACGACCTTAATGCTTCTGTCTGCAAGGAAGCAGCAGACTTATTCAAATAAGTTCTCCGGAAACCTATGGGCTTCCTACGGGAAGGAAGCTTCGAAAGAAGCGCTTTATGCCAAACCCGATCGCCGTCGCTACGTCTAATATTACTGCCAACACTTCTTCCTTAGACTCGATCGCCTGTGCCCACCGGTAAGTAAACTAGAAGCGGTAGGTAAACTACGGTAGGTAAACTAGAAGATCACCAGCAGATCGACCTTTACCAAAACCGTATTGTTGGTCACTGAGCAGCTGATGACTGATGACAGTCTAGTGGGTTTACTCTTGAATCTAATCTTAATATTAATAAATTCTCAATAATAATATTAAATGTCAAAACAATATAAACCCAATCTTAGTTGTCAAAACAGCGTTCAGGAGGCTTAATCTTGAATTCGATTCCAATTGATCGACATTGATATTGCGAAATTTAGTACTCTTGAGTTGCAACAATAGCGCCCATTGCATCCGCATTGCCTAGATAATGAATGAAATAAATGGTTTTGTGATTGGCTTTATATTCTACTCTAAACGCTATTAACAATTCAGATTAGAGTTGTATAGTATTGACATTGAATAATTGTTGAGAAGTAAGCGCCCTGTATAAAGACAAACCATTTAGTTCATTCAATATCCACCCAATACAAATGCAACGTGGCGCTAGTGTTGCGAATCAAGAGTACAAAACTTCACAATAGCAATGTCGATTGATGGGAATTGGATTTAGGAGTAAACCCTACAGTGAGTTGAAAAACCTATATAGAGAATCTATTCACTAAACTGAAACATTCGGCTATCATAATCAGAATGACCTTATTAGTCTGTGTTCAAAATAGGGGTCAATTTATATTTTCGTTTTCGATCGGTACAAATGTATTAGAGGAAAGAAGTTTGCAAGTGTGGCAGCACATGACTTTTAATTACAAGAGACTAATAACATTACTATGTGCTTTGGAACTCCTTTCAAAATTAGATTGAGAGAATCCGAACGCACCCGCCAGGTATATTCTAAGACTACGACCAGTGAAAAACGAAATGAGTAAATTTGCCTAAGAAGTAGAGTTACCACATGTGCAGGCCATATCGAAGGACTAACGGCGGACGGGCCTGGCAAGTGCTCGAGTGGATACCACGGAACAGACGTAGCATTGTCAGGTCGTCCGCTAGGTGGACCGACGACATTTTCAGAGTCGTGGGGAGCCATTGTTCAGCAGTGGACGTATTCTGGCCGAGGATGATGCTGAAGACGATGATCATAAGGAAAAAAAAACCACGTTTGTTTTAAAAGATAATTTTAATAATAAAAATATTTATTATCAAATAACTTACATAAACTTATAAGGAACGTAAACCTAGATATTTAATAAAGCGGTCTTCGTTCTCATTAGCCAAACTATTTCATAGAACGGCAATGGGAAACAATGAACATGTAAGGGACAACATTTTATATATTCGAAAAATATACAAGTTTGCCAATTAATCATCTGAATACTAGTTTCTCACGTGAACTATCCGAGAAAAACTCTACTGGTTTAAATTGATCGAAACGAGACCGCGTTCGGATCTTTGATTGGTTGGTTCATAGGAGCCGGTATGTCAGAGCGCCGAAACCAGTAACGTTTCGATCTCGATAAACGCAAAACAAAGTCGTATTAAGCCTTCAGGACCCATATTCACGAGCCGCGTGCGTGGTGCAGTGACGTCACCTTTAACTGTATCTTTTAATTGATTTACTATATTTCACGATCACGATAGGAATTGACAAAAACATTTTTTGGTCTTTAGAATATTTCGTCTCAAAATAGTAATGATTAATTTAAGTGATTAATTTAAACTTGTGTTCTGTACACAAATTCAAAACGGATGTGATATGCTGGTGTCTCCACAAAATGTTGGAGTTTGTATCTTTTATGATGACAATAATTTGATTTAAATACTCAGCTATAATTAAAACCTAATACTACCAGTTACGACAATTCGAGCACACATCATGACTAATAACGCGGCACACGATAGGACAGCAAAACTTATGCCCAAAGGTAATGTTGAGGAACTAACACCTACAGCAGAAAATAGCTTATTAATATCGCCGAACTTGATGCAGATAGCTATGTAGGCCATTAATATAGTGACAGTTCCTGCAACTACATACAAAGTCTTCATAAAACTTTTTATTTTTTCTCCCAACAATAAGTTTGCTACAGCTCCAACGAACGTCACGGATGCCAACAGCAAGACTAAGAAACCTGAAACAAAAACAAATATAATTATAAATAAAAATGAAGATTGATAAGCTTTAAACGGTCGATATAGATATTCATTTATTTATGTAATAAAAGCTTTGTACACAAAGGCTTTGGATGGTGAATTTAATGTTTAAAACAACATTAAATAGTAGTAGAATGAATGCCATTGCAAAGGGACGGGAAAGCGTCAAAAAATATGGAATAATAAATTGTAAGTGAACTGAGGTCGGGAAAAGGATGAGTGGATGATTAGAAGAAAAAATCAAATTATGGGCATTTGTGGAAGAACTTAGGTATAGAGCCTATAGATAAAAGTTCAAAGGTAAAGTTGTAGATATTAAAGAGATCTACAATTTTTGTGTTTAGACTTTTTTTGTCATTTTGTACCTACATATTCTCGAAAATTATGTGAAAATTGGAAACAAATTTTAACTGGGTTTTATTCTACTACTATTTAATACGGTTTCGGACCGTTGATGACGCTATTATCTATACTGCATTATCTAACAATCGACCTATGGGTGCCCGATCGGTAAGAGTGCCAGGTGACATTAAGTAAATATTCTATACATAGATACTGGACCACGTCTTCTAATACGTAACTTGTAAGGTTTTTATGAACTACGTTTTTACGAACAAAACGACTCGAAGTTCATCAGAAACGTAGGGGTATGCTCCTACATAGCCACTATTCATACTACTAAATAAAATAATGGCATTTAATTGTTAATTGAAAAGGGAATAAAAATGTCAATGTTTAGGAATGAGATCGATATTGGCCGGACTACAGTGGTTTATCTTCTTGATAGGACCTCATTTACGAATTTATAGTTTTGACGCTATTTATATGAAGCTTAAGGTAAACATGCATTAAAATAGCATGCTAAAAGGCGTTCTATTGAGCATGCTCAAAAATGTTCAAAAATCAAACGCTTGTCGATTCGCAAACATGCAATGAGATAGCTAATTTTGACCAACATTCTAACACATATACTACTAAGTGACAAGTGCTCAATTAAAACATGCTTTAATGCTTGAAATTAGCATATGCAGTATCTTTATAATTAAGATAAGACCGCACCTCTGACAGGTTATCATTGAAATCAGGCTCCGTTACTTAGCCGTTGCCTCCACATTCTTTTTGCTCAACATAAGCCAGTGAAGGTATATTTTCAATACAAAAAATATTTTCAAAACTCACTTACCTACAATTGTATGAGCATTTTGCAAGTGTCTCGTGGGGAATTGTACTGGTATGGGAGTGGGAATCGGAAGGATATTGCTAGAATTTTCATAAACCAGAGCAACACCAACACAAGCTCCGCATGCTACCAGGCCAGAGCCAATTATTTGAATGATCCAGTACAGTTTCGACTTGTGTGGGTACATAAAGTTGTCTTCAAATCCGACATAAGGGTTAACTGACAACACCGCTTGACTGCAAAGAATTGTAATCTGGAAATTTAAAATAACTATATAAGTAAATCCCTGCACCTGCACTCAAAATTATGATTTGTACACACATATATGACATGGATATTACGTAAAAATAGAGCGGTTGGACAGAACACAATGAATTAGGTGTGTTTTATCTTATCGTATTTTCTGAAATGTATTGGATTTTCGTAAACTGGCAACAGATTTTATTATATTTATTAGTGTTTATGTTTATTATCGTTTACTAAGTTTTAAATTAATTATATGTTTATATTCGAACAAATTATCGATTATAGCCCGTAGGCTTTTTGACTCTTCATGTGAATTGAGGACTGAATATTTCTTTGGTCAGAAAATTAGCATTATCAATCAATGTGGTAACATAAAATTAAAAAGTTCCAAAATAATGCTTACCCCAATCGCAGTCGTACAGGCGTGTGCTTTAAGCCTCCCGGAGTCTTCACCATCTATTAATATAAATGTAAGGAAAAGTGCTCCACCCATCAATAAATGAGCGAGGGTGGTGATCATATTCATGCACCCTACGTAGAACGAAACTTTCGGTGGAGATGACATTTTGCTAATTAATTAACACCAGCACGTAGCGAGAGACACTGTCGAATCACGAGCACAGTCATCGGAATAAATGTCCGACTAGTAGATTCGTTATCATCGATCCCTTCGATACATCGATGATAACAATAGACTGTTTCCTCGTCCGACTATCTGATAAGTAAATGTGGCGTAATAGAAACTTACACATATTTGGACTGTGAATAAAGATTTGCCCTTGAATTGTTCTAGTCTCTTTAGAATGTTAGATATCGGGTGTAAGTTCTTTTGACATAAAAGCTCGCAGGTGGCAACGAATCAATTTATCAATAAGGCTAATGCCCGATATGGAGGCGTGTAAGACTTATGGCGGTTGTTAAGACTTATTGTTAAGGTCCTTATGAGTTGCCGGTACTCCTGCTCGATGCAAGAGTAGGAACAGGACAGGTTTTCGATCATTAACTGATCTGACACTTCCTACCACCACACCCAAGGCGGCAGGAGTCATTGGACAATTTTCCTCCCTTAAAAAATCGGTTAATTTATTAAGAACATTTCTATCCATATCTTCACGCTATATTCATAAGGAGCTGAGTTAGTTTTGACAATTTAAATGAACGACTGATGTCAATGACTGTATACAATTTATTCTTGAATTGGCGGCTTGTGGTATTTTAAACTTCTTTGAAAATTAGATTCAGAGATCCGCACTACAAATCTATTAATTTAAAGTAAACAAAAAACAAGAGTTTATTTTTATACCAATAAAGTTCGTTTAATCAACTTAGATAAAGTTAACTATAAGAATGAAGATACTAATAGGGGACGCTATTTTATACACGGTGGTTGGCTCATCCACTGGAGGAGTTGGACTGGGGAGTTGTTATTCGACGTGGGGGACGAAGGGGGAGGCCTTTGTCCAGCAGTGGACGTCTTTCGGCTGTTGATGATGATGTTTGGCTCATGGATCGACACAATTTTTTCAGGGATTTGGGAGGTCACTAACCTTTTACCCATAAACCATAAATGTCATGGTTGACTATAATATAGGATTTTTTTATTGATATGAAAAATATACTCCAAAAGTTTTCTTTAACCGTGACATTTGGGACGAGGGCTTTAAGGGTAAGAGGTTCCAAATCCTAAAAAACAATGTGTCGGTTCGTCAATTATGGATATTCTGAATATTCAAACAATATACAAATTGGCTCACTATTCAATTGAAATATACGGTTCCTTCACGTGAATTATTCGAGTAAAGCTCCACTAGTTTTAAGTTATACAGGGACTGTATCCTACATCTCACTACAGTTTTTGCGCATAAAGATTTCCTGGATATTAAAAAAAAATATTTGGTTCCTAAAGAATAAAATAAAGTTATAATTGACTAAGTAAACCAGAGCTCGGTTGATTTTTACATAAAAACTATTTACTTTAGGTATATAATGTCATCATTAAGAAAATAATTAAAAATATTGGGATTTTCACTGAGAAGTAATCAAATTTAAATACTTAACTATCATTAAAACTTAATACTACCAGTCACATAAACTCGAGCACCCATCATGACCAACAACGCGACAAATGATAGTACAGCAAAACTTATACCCAAAGACAAAGTTGCAATTTCATCACCAAAGAGAGATATCAGCTTATTGATATCGCCAAACTTAATACAGACAGCTATATAGGCCAGTATTATGGTGACAGTTCCTACAATCACATACGAACTCTTCATAAAACTTGATAATTTTTCTTCAATCACTATATTTGCAATAGCACCTACCAAACTCACGGCAGCCAACAGCAACACTAAAAGACCTGAAACAAAGACAGAATTATATAATTTACTAGCTGTTTCCCGCGACTTCGCTTTTGTGTAATAATAACTTCTGGCAATTTGGATTTTTTATTAGTCTTCTCCAAGGTTAATTGCAATTATGTGTAACAAATCTCATCAGAATCTTATTAAATGTATTATATATATTTGTTATGTTATATTTATTGGGAAATACTGTTTATTTTCGTGATTTTAAAAAATAAACCAACCCGATTCAGTGGTTAAAACTCCATTTGAATTCCAATCAAATAGATACAGCGGTTGAAAACTCTCAGGCGTCATTTTACTAGTCTCAAAGTATCGTCGTACTCAATTAAGTCCAATGGTTTATAAGATTTAGAGACCCAAAAGTTTAACACAGTTCCTGTTTCCGTGGGATTTTCAGGATGAAAACTGCTATTTACTTGAATCATGATAATTTGACCGGCACGAATGGGCCTTGTTTGACTGGAATGATACCACGGCCTTACAGAAAACCTAAGTGATACAACACATGCGTTGTCTTTCACTGTGTGAATGGGGTTACCGAAATTCCCCAATCCTTGAATATCCAACAATCCTCAAATTTCTTATCCCCAAAAGACCGGTAACGCACTTGTACCACCTCTGGTGTTTCGGGTGTCCATTGCCGATTGCTTACGATCAGGTAATTTGTCTGCTCGTTTACCGGCTTATTCCATAAAAATACATCTTTTCCCAGGTCTCAAACTATCGTAGAACCGAATAACACTCGAATAGGTTCAGTGGTTTAACCGATAGAACATCCCGGAATTTTAACGCATAGTTGTCCCGTGAAATTTCCAAGATTGAACAATCACACGTCCTTTCCAGTGCCAGTATCTCAAATTCTCGTTGAACCGAATTTCAATCAAATAGGTTCCGTGGTTAATAATACTAGTATTCAGTCTGGTTGCATACAAAAAAAAATGTCAATGAACCATTGGCATGAAATTCACTTGCCAAAAATAATTCAGCTACCATAGATATTGCGCGTAGGTCTGTTTGTTTTGTTAGAAATTGACGTATTTTTTTTTAAGTGTGAGTTTTTGAGAGTGAGAGACGTGAAGTGGAGATAGTTTGAGTATTGTAAGTAGCATAGGCTACACAGGGGATGGAAGATTGTATGGACCATTTCGTAATTTTCAAGAAACCTAATATTGGTGTCAAATTTCTGACCAATAAAACATCGGGCACTAATTCTTTTTTATCTCTTTTGTAGACCTGCCTTCAATACTTTAAAAGAGCGCGAGCGAAACCATGGGCAGAAGTTAGTCCGAATGTATTCAGTTATAAATAACTGAAATGAATTCATATTTTTTCGGTTACGTCCCTCAGGACACGGTGTTGCTCATCGTATCCTCCGGACGGTCTTCTCCGTGATAACACCCGGGCTTTCATCCAGCCCAAGAAGAAACAGGTACCTCCCGAAACTCCCATGCCCGGTAAACAGCTGCGTCAGGCGGTAAGGAACGACGGTACGGCGTCTTCCTCATTCTCGAGCATCTCAAGCGTCTCTCAAGCCACTCCTCAAAGAATGTTCTAAACGCTGCATTAACATTGAGCCCAAAAATACTATTCCTGGTAGTTAAATCTTCTGATAACTTATTATTGAAATCTGGCGTCGCTTAATGAGCTGTCGCCTCCACATTACTTTGTTCTACATAGATCAATGTACATTTTTTATCAAAATTTTATTTCAATGGACAAGGAATACACAAAATCTCACTTACCTATTATTCCATGACTAGTTTGCAAGTGTTGCACGAGGACTAAGCCTGGTGTAGGAAATGGAAGTTCGAAGCCAAAAGAAGTTTCACTAACCAGGGCTATACCGATACAAGCTCCGATTAGAACCAAGACAGAGCCAAGTATTTGAATGAGCCAGTAAGTTTTCGACTTCTGTGGGTACATAAAGTTGTCTTCGAATCCAACATAAGGGTTAACTGACAATACCGCTTGACTGCAAAGTAGTGTGACCTGGAAATATTAAATAATTATATTAATAAATCTAACTGCACTTAAAACAAATGATACGTTCGTATATTATGGAATGGTTTTAAATCAAGATTGGGCAGTTTTACAAAGACAATGAATTAGGTATGTTTTATCAAAAGTTATAAGAAATTAATTCGTAAACAAGCAATCAGGTTTTCATCATAATTTAATAGTGGTAGTAGTTGACTCAGTTTCACATTCTGTGACTTTCATGTAAGTTTTAACTCAAAATTACAAAATCCAAAAATAGTACTTACCCCAAGAATTGACATACAGGCGTGTGCTTTATACAATGCGGGGTCATTTCCATCTGCTAATACAAATGTAAGGAACAGTGCTCCACCCATCAATATATGAGCGACGGTGTTGATCGCATTCATACACCCTACGTAGAACGAAATTTTTGGTGGAGATGCCATTTTGTTAATTCATTAACAACTGCAAGCAAGCGAGTGACACTGTGCAATCAGGAGCGCAGACATCGACATAAATATTTGATAAGTGTATACTTTATCTTTAATCCCGTCGATCCATCAACGATAACAATGGGTTGTTCCCTTGTCCAACTATCTACCAATAATTATTGTGACGTAATTGAAACAAACACATATTTCGACTGTGAATAAAAACTTGTCCTTGAATATTGGTGATGGAGTGTGCTCGGAACGGAGTAGAACGTGAGATATTCGTAAAGGATTTTAAATTAAATAAATTTGATGTAGGCATTTTACAATCCATTTTATCTGTACCATCTTCAGCGATTATGAAAAAGTTGAAGTTGAAAAAGTTGAAGTTGAAAAAGTTGAAGTTAAAAAAAAAATATTAGGACACTTAATTATTGACAGAACACGAGCCAACCATTTTTAGCATTTCTGTCTGTTTATCTGTTGAATTGAATGCGCATCACGCGAAAACGGCTGAACGGATTGTGATGCAAACTTCACCAATCTATTAAGGAAATTCCTGAGCAGAGTTAGTTTTGTGTGAACGATTTTTTTCAATGTCAAGGACAGTATTCTGTTTAGTTCCTAGAAAAATTATAAATTGTTAGTGTTAGCTTGGAACTTAGTCTTTTGCAAATTAAATTCAGAAACCGACACTAAAAATCTATTTAACGTAACAGGAAAACAAAAACAACGTTCGGTTTATAAGTTTATTTGAACATTTGAAAATGTTTACTTAAAAAGATCTACAAATAAAGTTACTTTGATTTTTGTAGGTACTTAAACAACTTAAATAAAATAAAAAAACTACAGGAGACGACACTTTACATATTCAAAAAATATACAAATTTGCCGATTAATCAATTGAAATATACGGTTCCTTCATACGAACTATACAAGAAAAGCTCTATTGGATTCAAGTTATACCGGGATTCGTATTCATGAGCTTTATGCAAGGTGAAGTGACTGTCTGGATTAATTTACTAGGGCTCACTGTAGTTATCGTGCAAAAAGGATTTTCTGGACATTCAAGAATATTTTATGTCTTATAGAATAGAATAAAATAAAGTACTGGTATAACTGACTAAACTAACAAGTTTGGATAAAATATAGTGTCATCATTAAGAAAATAATGGAAAATGTTGGAAAATTGACGTTATGTAACTGATGATTGATCGGAATTATTAGTGAGAAATATTCTAATTGATAATACATAGCTATAATTAAAACTCAATACTACGAGTCACAAAAACTCGACCACCCATCATGACCAACAATGCGCCAAATGATAGGACAGAAAAACTTATACCCAAAGACAAAATTGCAATTTCATCACCAAATAACGATAATGTCTTATTATAATCACCAAACTTAATACAGACAGCTATATAGGCCAGTATTATAGTGCCAGTTCCAAGAAGCGTGTACAGAATCTTCATAAAACTTTTTAATCTTTCTGCAATCACTAAGTTTGCAATAGCACCTACCATAGTCACGGCAGCCAACAGCAACACTAAGAAACCTGAAACAAAGACAGAATTATATAAATAACTAGCTTTTACCCGCGGCTTCGCTCGCGTCACAAAAAGATAAAACGTAGCCTATGTGACTACCCATCCCTTCACCTACCTTCAGTTGAAAAATCACGTTAAGTATCTCCGTTTTGCCGTTTAAGACAGGCAAACAAACAAACAGCTGTTCGCTTGCGTGGAATTCGGTTATAACGCGCGTTTTAGATTTTTCCGTGGGAATGAGAAATTCTGCCGCGGTAAAGCCTTGCTTTTCCAGGACTCAAACTACCTTTATACCAAATTTCTTCAAAATCGATTCAGCCGCGTGAAAGAACAGAAGAAGTTATTTTCGCATTACCACAAATACCTCCTCCCATTTTAATTTAAAAGACTTCTATTTCCTATAAGGGTTATATTTGCAACGCTAAACCAAAACTGAGTGGTATATTATATATACTAACTACTATAACTATATTATACGTTTTATTATCGAAAACCTAACTACTTTAGACATCTACTTAGAAATAAACCACTTCACTAATCTAACCTAACTAATATAGCTACTGTATCAATCAACGTAAACAATGAACAAAGCGTCTTAGAACGACGAAAAAAATTACTATAGTACTTTAGATACTAATATCTACCTAGAAAAAATTACACTTGACTAATCAAACCTACATAGCGAACAAATAATAATAATAATCATAATCAATATAAGCGCTAGATGCGAACCTCGGAAGCGGAGCGATGGAAGCTTGGAACCTATACTTTCGCCGGTAACGAAACCATAGCGCCATCTAACTCGATCCTAACGCCATCTATCGAGCGTTGAAACAACAGCGTACAATATATTTGCTAATTGTTGAGTATTGTTGCCACTATGGTTTCGTGTAGGCCTTTAACAACCTAAAATCTATAAAATACGCAACTTAATGTAAAATGGTTGGAACCAAAATTTAAAAGCGAAGAATACTTAAAAAACACATCGCTATTCCACATAGACACCAATTTCGTGTACCTTTAACAACCTAAAATCTATAAAATACGCAATTTAATGTAAAATGGTTAGAACCAAAATTTAAAAGCGAAAAATACTTAAAAAATAGCGTAACTACTACATAGACACCAATTTCATGTACCTTTAACAACCTAAAATCTATAAAATACACAATTCAATGTAAAATGGTAGGAACCAAAATTTAAAAGCGATGAAAGTACTTTAAAAGCACAACGCTACCCCGTTTTATAAACACTCAGCGCCATCTATCGCCAAGTAGCGTAACTACTACACAACGTTACCACGTTGTGTTTTTTAAGTATTTTTACATATAAAATAGCAAATAAATGAGTCGAAAAGCGCACTGAATAAGTGTAGATTAACACCAAATAACCGCTATAGATTAAAGCGTGAAATTTCCAATTAGTAGGTAATTCGTTGAATTGTTTTAGATGGTACAAAGCGCCATCTACAGGAATACACACAGCGCCATCTATACTAATATTTTTGTTTTCCCTCGGAAATATCACATTTTTCCGGGATAAAAAGTACCCTATTATTTAATCTGGACTTCTAACTTTACGTCTGCAAAATTTCAAAGCAATCGGTGTAGTAGTTACGGCGTGATGGTGGAACAAACAAACAAACAAACAAACTCACTTTCAGATTTATAATATTAGTAAGGATAATGATACATCTAAAATGTTGTTTACATATTGCATTGACAAATTTTACGACCGAAATTAATAAGTTATCTTTATCCAAATCTATGGATTAAGATCTTTTTTTGACTGAAACTCCATAATCGGCTTAACTGAACAATAATCAAAGATATGACGTCTTCATATTTGTTACTTATTATACAACGTTTATATGAAACGAAAGTACATTTAAATTATTTGGCATCGCAAGAGCTTTGCACCTGCATACTATTCACCCTCCTGAGGGGCATTCAATCGGTTAGTCGAACAACTACTTAGAGAAGTCAATTTGTGGGATTGACATTCATCCAATTATGTAACAAATATATGGATTTTTCTACTATTAAGGGATTTTGGTCACCTCATTCATACGGCCATATCGTAACGCAAGCGTTGACACACGTTGGATTTATAAGAGGCCGTAGAGGCAGAGCAATCACCAGATCAGTAGCAGGTGATTGTTCCGAGTCTGCCGATTCGTGCCATTAAAAGTTCCCGTATTCTTTTTTTATGGAATAGGTGGCAAACGAGCAGACGTATCACCTGATGGTAAACGATCAGCGCCACCCATGGACACCCGCAACACCAGAGGAAAAAAATCTAAAATATCAAAGTATCTCAAAAGATTTTTCTTTTTGGTGTCCGTCAGTGATGGTGGCAATAAAAAATAAAATATCACAGAAAAGGCTTATTCGAATATAGTTTGTGAAAGTATTTTTATAAGAATACCTATGTAATCAAAACTTATCGTATAAGAAACGTTCATTAAAATTATTAGCATTAAGCTCTATTAAAAATGTAATGTCATCACAACATCATGAAAGTTGCCATTTTTTTATGGACATGCAAGTAGGAAATGCGACCAAAGACATAGGTAATAATAATAGACGCCAGTAGTATCTTTTCCATTCTAGCAGCCGGTGCTACTAATCTGTCAGTTACAGTGTTTGAACCTCATTTATGAATTCTGTAGTCGTGGGTTTGTAAAAATTTGACACTATTTGTATGGGGCTTATGATAAAATCCATCTCTCATGTAGTAAATCTACTGATATCTTTATTGAAACCTGGCGTAACGTTTTAAAGCGTAGGAGAGCCATGCTTCAGCACGAATGGGCCGGCTCGACCGGAGTGATACCACGACCTCACGGAAAACCGACGTGAAGCAACGCTTGCGTTGTGTTTCGTCGTGTGAGTAAGGTTAACGGAGGCCCGATTACCCTCCCCTTCCCCAATCTCCCTAATTCCTGAATCCTCAACGATCCTCAAACTCCTAATTCCCAAAAGTCCGGTAACGCCCTTGTAACGCCTCCTGGTGTTCCAGGTGTCCATGGGCGACGCCGATTGCTTACGATCAGGTGATCCGTCTGCTCGTTTACCGGCTTATGCCATAAAAAAAATTAATGCGCTGACCCATTTATATAATTTTTGTTCAACATAGATCAATATATGTACATTTTTATCAAAATTTTGTTTCAATGGACTACAAATATATAAAACTCACCTATAATTCCATGATCAGTTTGCAAGTGCTTTGCGCCTGGTAAGCCTGGTAAGCCTGGTATGTCTGGTATGGGAAACGGAAAATCATCGATAGCAGAAACTTTTTCACCAACCGACGCTATACCGATACAAGCTCCACTTAGTACTAACGCAGAGCCAAGTATTTGAATGAGCCAGTAAGTTTTCGATTTCTGTGGGTACATAAAGTTGTCTTCGAATCCAACATAAGGGTTAACTGACAATACCGCTTGACTGCAAAGTAGTGTGACCTGGAAATATTAAATGATTATATTAATAAATCTAACTAACTGTATCCAAAACAAATGAGTCGGTCATATTATGTTGGTAAAAAAATGGACAGTTGTACAAAGACAATGAATTAGCTATATTTTATCGTATGTAAGTGTGGGAGAGACATGCTTCGGCATGAATGGGGCGGCTTGACTGCAGTGATACCACGGCCTCACAGAAATCCAACGTGAAAAAACGCTTACGTTGTGTTTCGTCGTATGAGTAGGTTACCGGAGGCCCAATTACCCCCGTACCCTTTCCCAATTTCCCCAATCCCTGAATCCCCAACGATCCTCAAACTTCTAATTCCCAAAAGGCCTGTAACGCACTTGTAACGCCTCTGGTATTCCAGGTGTTCATGGGTAAAGCCGATTGCTTACCATTAGGTGATCCGTCCGCTCTTTTACCGGCTTATGCCATAAAAATATATTAGAATTTCGTAAGCTGACAATTAGGTCTTAATTATTATTTAATAATAATTCATTATTATTATTTAATGATTAAGTTAACCGACATCGTCAGAGTTATGGGAAGCCTTTAGATGCAGGTGGGTGGTGATAAAGTAATTAGTTAACTTTCACATTTTGTGACTTTCATGTAAGTTTTGACTTAAAATTACAAAATCAAAAATAGTACTTACCCCAATTATAGTCGTACAAACGTGTGCTTTATATAATGAATTTTCATTTAAATCTGCTAACGCAAATGTAAGAAAAACTGCTCCACCCATCAATATATGAGCGACGGTGTACGTCGCATTCATACACCCTACGTAGAACGAAACCTTTGGTGGAGATGACATTTTGTTAATTCATTAACAACTGCAAGCAACGAGTGACACTGTGCAATCAGGAGCGCAGACATCGACATAAATATTCGACAAGTTGATACTTTATCTTTAATCCTTACGATAACAATAGGCTGCTCCCTCGTCCAAATATCTACCTCTATATAATAATTAAAACAAACATATATTTGTACTGTGACAAAGATCCTCTTCCTTTTGAGACAATTCGGCTTCTGAGCCCGCCGTTCATGTATCGACCAGGTACGCCACATCGTCGAGTATGTCAGTTCACGCTGTCATCTGTCGCGGAATGATGACGCGTTCTTCGACATTGCGAAATCATTCGACGAATTCTGGCTTAATGGCTTGATTTTCACTATATATCTTATTATCTACTTGACATGCCAGACCATCTTGTGATCATGTTACGAGACTTTTTGTTAAAACGCTTCTTGGTGCTGTACTATATACCCTCATCTTCCCACTATATACTAGTAACATACGATTCCATCTCTATGTAGACAAAGACAAAGACAAAGATTATTTATTTGCAAAGTAGAGCTCTCTCTGTTTGCAGATAACAGTGATCTACTACTCGACAAAACCCAATGATCCCATTACAGTACCTAATACAAGAGAGCCGTAGGTTAAACCAGCACTCTTCGTAAAAACAAACACAGACTGCTTTTCGTAATCAAGCCTCACCACCAAGGGTCGTCGCTAACCTAATAATGCTCCCCCCTAACTCTGGCCAATCGGCCCAGCTCGCGAAGTTGAGCAGCCAGTAGCAATAAAAATCCCCTTCAATAATCATGTATGTACAGATAACAGGGAAAAAACCATGAAAACTTCTAGAAAAATAGATAAGTAACTTTATTGTATCATCTAAAAGGTATTTATTAAAAGCGATAACAGGTTACAATAAAATTAGTTAATCATTTAAAATTTTGATAACAACTTTATACTTAATCGTATCCGCAAATAAGGATATAGACATATCTATTTTGATCGTGTTCGGAATTTAATGCCTGTTGCGATCCAGAAATCCAACGTTATCAATACACTGAAGAGGCAGGTTAAAACCATGAGCGTTAGTATGAAGCCGTCTCCTTCACCAGTCCAAGTCTTGAATGAGTCATAGTTAAAGGCCGCACAGAGGCTTCCGGTTCCCACAAGTATACTGGCGACACCACTGAGGTAGTGGAAGAACTTTATCCAGAACATGCCGATGGCAGAGGAAGACACTTTGTGGGAGAACATTACCAGGATCCCATTTAGTAAACTGACGAACGCTAGCACCAATGCCGCTAAACCTGCAATGATTTAATTATGAGTGTCTTTACCATTCACGGGACCACAGGGTCCCGGTCATTTGGGAGGCGTACGAGGGGCCGAAGCCAACTGCGCAGAGGCCCTTTAGACAACTTTAATATAAATGTAATGGACACACAAACCGCGGCGACTATCCCTGTATGCACTATGGAAATGCACCCAAGGACAGTCTCCGGTTAGTGTAAAACTATTGTGGATAATGGAAAAAAAGAAATAGGGCTATGGATGGGTTGCTGTGGACTGGAAAATTGGGAACTATGGATGACTATGGCACCTGCCGAAACAATGTAATTATTACACGTAAAAATGGCAGGCGGAGACTCGCCAACTCACCGACCGACAAACTAATTATGATATTATTATCTTTATAAGTCTTAGATTGTTATTAATTCTAACTAACCTAACAAACAGGGTAATACCCTTACTTTGGGCTGAACAGTGACGCCAGACTTAAAATTGTAATCAGAGATGCCCACAATAAACGAATTATATTATATCAGAAAGGAACTGAAAAGGTTTGCACACGGTCTAGCGATATGATGTCTAAATGAAGGCCGCAGTAACTATTTCCAACATTTATAAGCTAGTTTGTCACCTTAATATCATCTATAAGAAAAATTATTTATTGTAACAAAGTCCTATGGGACCATGAAGTCTTGCTACTTGATAGACTCTCATACATATTCCCTGAGGCTCTTTCAATCATATATTACGTAATCGTTTATTTAGTCATGCATCTAGTAGCTATATCCTATTATAGAACCTATACACAGAAACCTTGTGGTTAAAGGTATTTAAAGTTGTTTCGCCCGCTGTATCGCTCTCGTACTCCAACCAACAGAACGGTCGTCGCACAGGTTCACTTTTAAAATTTTCGTGTAGTTTTAGAAAACGGGACTATTTTGCGTCTCAAGTTGCGTTCATTTCGGGGACAACGGGCCTCGTATTATTTTATTTTTATATAAAATGTGACAGTCAAACGTTTTTAAAGAGGGACGTGACCAGACGTCCCGTTAAGTTAGTATACATAACTTAACGGGACGTCTGGTCACGTCCCTCTTTAAAATGTTTAAAAACGTTAAGTTAGTTATACATGGGCTCGCTGCCATTGCAGCGGTAAGTCCCCTCTTTGAGGAGTGGCTTGAGAGACGCTACGGCGTCCTCACCTACCGCCTGACGCAGGTCCTCACCGGACATGGAAGTTTCGGGAGTACCTGTGTCTGATGGGGCGGAGGAAACGCCCGGGTGTCATCACTGCGGACCGCCCTGAGGACACGGGGAACACACAGTGGGAGAATGCCCTGCATGGGCTGAGCACCGCCGTGCCCTCAGGGAAGTGATCGGCGATGGCGACCTCTCGCGTCCGGGCCTAGTGCAGGCCATGATGCGGAGCGAGGGGGATTGGGATGCCGTCTCCTCCTTTTGCGAAGCAGTCATGCTAGCTAAGGAGGAGGCGGGACGCGTGAGGCAGCGAAGCGCTGCCTCCTCGCAACCCAGCCATCGCGAAGGACACACCGGGCGTCGGGGATCGCGAGACGATCTCCGGCCACCGTAAGCGCGGGCCTGCGGACGGCGAGCATGGGTGGCTCCCCGTCCGACCAGAAACAGACCCGAGCGTACGGCGCGTCGCGTTCCGCGCGCGCCTCAAAGAGCCATCAGACCACCACAGATGGGGCCCAATAGGGCCGATGCCGATTCGGAGTCGCGGAGAACCTAACGGGTAACCGGGGCTCCGGCTCGACGTGCAGGAGAAGGAACGGGGTGGTTTTTAGTCAGTAAGAGTCTGACACTCCCTTCCGCCTCACCCAGGCGGGAGCAGTCATTCGATGACTTTCCCCCCTTAAAAAAAAAAAACAGTTAGTTATACATTCAGTGTTTTAATAATAATAATAATTGTTCATTGAATTTATTGGTATGATCATCAATCAATATTAATTATGTTGATAGTCTATCAGATTATGGCAAACCCTCCTATATAGAGAATATTCACAGTTCGACAGTAGACTGTTGAACTGACTGTAGGTACTTGTAGTTAGATAATAATAGTAGATATGACATAATGTAAATCTGGAATGTTCTAATGAGATGTCAATAACGCTATTGATAAGAATAGACGGTCAACCAATGTGTTTGCTTTAGAGGAATATATACCCAAATATTTGGAATAATAATAATAATAAATATTTGGAAATGAGAGAGAGTCCCAAATTAGTAGTAGAAGTTAAGTCCCCCTCTTTGGGGAGTGGCTTGAGAGACGCTACGGCGTCCTCACCTACCGCCTGACGCAGATCCTCACCGGACATGGAAGTTTCGGGAGGTACCTGTGTCTGATGGGCCGGGAGAAAACGTTCGGGTGTCATCACTGCGAGGACCGCCCTGTGGACACGGTGGAACACACTGTAGCGGAATGCCCTGCGTGGGCTGAGCACCGCCGTGCCCTCAGGGAAGTGATCGGCGATGGCGACCTCTCGCGTCCGGGTCTAGTGCCGGTCATGATGCGGAGCGAGGAGGACTGGGATGGCGTCTCCTCCTTTTGCGAAGCAGTTATGCTAGCTATGGAGGACACAACCCAGCCATCGCGAAGGACACACCGGGCGTCGGGGATCGCGGGACGATCTCCGGCTACCGTAAGCGCGGGCCTGCGGACGGCGAGCATGGGTGGCTCCCCTTCCGACCAGGAACAGACCCGAGCGTGCGGCGCGTCGCGTTCCGCGCGCGCCTCAAAGAGCCATCAGACCACCACAGATGGGGCCCACAGGGCTGATGCGATACGGAGCCGCGGAAGACTTAACGGGTTACCGGAGCTCCGGCTGGAAGTGCAGGAGTAGAAACGGGGTGGTTTATAGTCAGTAAGAGTCTGACACTTCCTCTCGCCTTATCCGGGCGGGAGAAGTAATTGGATGATTGCCCCCCTGAAAAAAAAAATGCCTAGTAGTAGAAGAACCTGGAAAGCTAATTTAAGGTTTTTCTTTTCTTTCTTTTGTACCTTTAGTTGTTAGATTTATTTTGTACCTTTAGTTGTTATTTTTAAGGAGGGAAATTAGTTATTGGCTAAGTAAGCAAATTCTTGCTTGTTTTCATATTTTCAAGAAGCTGATTTCAGTACTCCTTTTCGTTATGTAGGAAATGGTAAAAAATACTGATATTACCGACGCTCCTAATTCTAAATACTTGTTTATCAGATGTTTCCAAATTGCGTACAATACGCGGCCTAATTCATAGTTACGTATCAGGCATTATCATGATGCGATACCCCCATAGTCTACGTAAGTCTTATCTAGCGATGCGCGACTAAAATTAATAATGAACTGAACTAGCATTGTCACGCATGTTTGCTCGAGAAATTATTTTTTCTTGAAACTTTCAAACAGGACTACCACGGTTTCTTTGGGGCATTTCGTGGTATGAACTTTGCAGTTCAGTCCAAAGTCATCTTCTGTAAAACCCCATACAATCTAATGTTGTCATATTCTAAGTAGCTATTTGATACATCTGTGTCAAATTATAGACGTATGCCAATTGGATATTACGGTCATTACTTTCTGCCCTATAACAGATCAATTATTATGATTAATATGGGGCAGAATCTAATTACTGACTTACAGTACCTATCTGTACTTATCTCTGAGCAAAATTTCATTTATATCTGGTTAGTAGTTTTGCGTGAAAGAGGAACAAAACTCTAAGTACATTCTGACTGACGTTTACAGATTTTGAATATTGATTAGACTTTAGCAACCTGTCAATATAAAGGAACTGCTCAATCTAAGAATACGAGAATTAACCTTAAATTAGTCAAAGTCAAAATATTTATTTCAATTAATCCATAATTTGGTACTTTTAAAACGTCAACAAATACAAAATAAATAATTAATAGTCTGTCAGTCTCTCCATCAGTGGAGCTAGGTACATTCAAATGGAGAAGAACGAACAAGAAACTCCATTCGTTACTCTTTTGCAAATGCCAAGAAGTTTATTGGCGCTGCAATATTTCACAACATTGTAGCTGATCATTCATTCCTATCCCGTTAGAAATCATACGCCGTACGGAGGCTATAAGTTAGCCTTGTAAATCGTAGAGTGCATACATAAACCCTCAATAATAAATAAATTGTAGAATAACTTATTTCCTTTAGTTAACTTTTACAACTCGATAAACGAATGATGGCGTCGCCCGGCCGTGGTACGGCGACAGAGAATTTAAATCTGTTTGGTTTTGATTTTAAAAATTATTAACAACTTAATATGTGTAAATTGTAAGCATGGGTTGTTTTTTGAATATAAAATCTTTATTCCTTTGAATCAGAAAATATACAGAAACTATTTAAAGAATATATTTTGAATAGTTACTTTTTTTTCAATCTGCTAGATTATAAAAGTATTTAATTATTATTGGACGAAAAAAAACCATCCGTGATATAAAAGCAAGATTTCTTAATATTATTACCAAACAATAAAATAAACAAACAAACTTGCCAGCTTCATAACATTGGTATAGATTAGTATACTATCAGAGGTACTTAACTGATTGACTCGATAACAATGATACAATGTTGGTATGATTACATTTTTTTACTTTATTTTTCACAAGTTTATTATCAATTTCGTACTCATGAACAAAGAATGAAATGAAATAAATATTTTCATCGATCTATATAAATAAATAAAAAGGAATTTCGATTCGTTAGTCTCGCTAAAACTCGAGAACCGCCGAACCGATTTGGCTAATTTTGGTTTTGAAATGTTTGTGGAAGTTCAGGGATGGTTTAAAAGGTGAGTAAAATTTTTAGGCGGTACAAGGTTTGCCGGGCTAGCTAGATTGTAAAAAAACTGCTTAATTAGAATTCTGTATTTGTTATAAATTCGAAGTGAAGGATTTATTTATTCGAAGCTGCGGACGGTCTAACGGTTTACCGGAGCCTCGGCTCGAAGCAGAGGCAGGAACGGGATGGTTATCAGTCAGTAGGAGTCTAACTCTCTCGCCTCACCTAAGACGGGAGTAGACATTGGATGACTTTTCTCTCTCAAAAAAAGATTGATTAATTATCAGTGTATTTACCAGTATTTGGTTTTTTTTAAGGGGGAAAATCATCGAATGACTGCTCCCGCCTGGGTGAGGCGGAAGGGAGTGTCAGACTCTTACTGACTAAAAACCACCCCATTCCTTCTCCTGCACGTCGAGCCGGAGCCCCGGTTACCCGTTAGGTTCTCCGCGACACCAGTATTTGGTTAGTGTTCTTCTAAGTGAAGTGATTTAAAATTTGGCTAGCCGTGATTTGATGCGAAGAATTGATGATCAAGCTCAATGGTGAGATCTTATTACAGAGGCCTACGTCCAGCAGTTTGATGAAAATGGTTTGGTGATTGACTTTCCTGACTGCATTTGAATTTAAATAGTATTTCCTCTCATAGATTGTAGATGGTGTTACTATAGCAATGTTAAGTGTGGTATGATTAAATAGCTCTATTGTAATATAATATAACTAAAATAATATTAATTTGTGGATTAAGAAAAAACATTCTATTTACATCTCCAATGGGAGTTTCATAAATCTCGCAAATTGCAACTTACGACTTTCAACCTAAGTGTGGAAATTTTAGGTAACCTTCTTATGAAGGCCCTAGTCCAATAGTACATTGATTTTCAAGAGTTGTCGATTTAAAAAAAAAAACGTTGCCCTCACGCTAGGATTTTCTCCTGTGTGTGCGTTTGCAAACATACAAGTTCTCATACACATGACACCCAGGCCCGGAACAACAATATATGGATCACACAAAGAGTTGTTTTGTGCGGGAATCGAAACCGTGACACGTTGCGGCAGCCAGTTGCCTGACCACCGTGCCAACCGTGCAGTCAATGTTAATGTGATTAAAGTTACTAGAAGATATGTACTAACTAATCCAAACTGCCTCGTTGGCCGAAGGTTCGATTCCCGGGTCGGTCAAAGTATTACCGGGTTTATAAAAAATTTCAATAGTAGCACGAAGTCTGGAATTGTGCCCGGTATCCCAATAGGCGCACCCCCTATTACATGGGACTCATAACATAAATAGTGAAAAGTGGGTGTTACATTATACAGCGGCATTAAGTGCCGGAATATGCACCTCTGTCTACCACTTCGGGGCTAAAACGTGTGATGTTATGTATGTATGATATATTAACTTACTAGCTTTTACCTGCGGCTTCGCTCGCGTCACAAAAAGATAAAAAGCCAATGTGACATTTACCAATACACACAGCGCCATCTATACTAATACTTTTGTTTTCCCTCGGGAATATCAAATTTTTTTGCGATAAAAAGTACCCTATTATTTAATCGGGACTTGTAACTTTACGTTTGCAAAATTTCAAAGCAATCGGTTGAGTAGTTACGGCGTTAAAGTGGAACAAACAAACAAACAAACTCACTTTCCGATTTATAATATAAGTAAGGATTATAAACTCAAATAAATTATTTACCAAGTATCCCATGAATAGACGTGAAGTGGGTGTCTTTCTGTAGTATCACAAATACAGTTCCCGTGGTGACCAGGGCAAAAGCAAGGACTTGGAGTACCCAATGGAAGTGCTTCTTGTATCGACGAGCTATGAACATTGTCCAAGCGTTGTACTGTGACATCACTAGCGTCCCATGACACATAAAGAATTGGTACTGGAAGATTTAGAAAAAAATATCATTAATAATCAATATACATATGTACCTATATTATTATATATAAACTAGCGGACCCGAAAGACGTTCTCCTGCATATGTATGAAAGGAAAGACCAATAAAATAATTATTAATATTGTTAGTTTAAGATATCCCAGATATCGTCTGCAGCGCCATCTGCCGGGCTGATTTGTGAATCTAAATCATCCAGGGCGCCACTTAAACGCATACAGAAAAGTTCATTTAAATCGGTTAAGCCGTTTAGGAGGAGTTCAATGACATACACACGTACAGCAGTTCATCAAAATCGGTCCAGTCGTTTGAGAAAAGTTCAGTGACATACACACTCACAGAAGAATTATATATATGTATAAAGATATAAAAATAAATCCCTTTTTCCCTTGGTCACGGCATCACGCGTGAATGCCTGGACTGATTTCACTAATTATTTTTTGTTGTATTTGTTATTATTAGGAGAAGGTTCCGTCTTAACAGAAAATGTCCTGAAAATCCTACGGGAAAGGGAGAAAACAGGATTGCGCGTACGAAGTCGCGGGCAGAAGCTAGGTTCAAATAAAAACGGTCGAATTGATATAACCCAATCCTTTTTAAAAAGCCGTTAAGGTGATGAGGTTTCTTTTACCTATTATATTAGCTTCTGCCGGCGGTTTCGTCTGCGTTGCCAAATATATAACCTGTGTTATTCCACACCACAATCTACTTCTGTTTCAAATTTCATTCTGATCCTTTCAGCCGTTGTGACGTGAGTAACAAACATACACACAAACACACAGTCACAAATGTTCGCATTTATAATATTTATTACTTCCGCGCGGTTTCACACGCTCTGCTCAGCTCCTATTGGTCGTAGCGTGATGTTTTATAGCCTATAGCCATCCTCGATAAATGCGCTATCCAACACAAAAATAATTATTTAAATCAGAATTGTAGTTACGGAGATTAGCGCGTTCAAACAAACAAACAAACTCTTCCGCTTTGTGTAACTTGTGTTGGGATTGGTGAAAATTCTCAATAATAAAACTGGTCCTGAAATTATACTTAGCGCCTATACCATAATTGACAATTTGGTAAAAAGTGTCTCTTACATTATACCTCTACATATTAGGTACCCACAATGTATGTCTTTTACTGCATTTGTCTTTGATTCCCATGTCGGGCAAGTATTACTAGGTTTTTTAAAATAATCTCAGTTGTTACGGAGTTTGTAATTGTATCCGGTATATGGCAATAGACTCATAACATAAAGTATTGAAAAGTGGATGTTACATGTGTGCACCTTTGCCTATACCTTCGGGGATAAAAGGCGTGATGTTGTATATGTACCTATTTATGTGCACTTTTAAATTTATAAAGGATTAAAGGCCGACTAATGTAAGAAATTAAACAAAATTTGCTATTAAACGTCAATAAAGTAACTTATCAGTTATCACTCATAGCGGTTTACACCAAAATCATAATATGGAATGGGTTCGATACGACGCGAGAGAAATACCAACACAAAAGTTACTCATGTAACTGTTTGACGAAGGACTCGTCTAGTTTCAAGCCATGCTAGATGCTCATATTCATTAGTAGCATTCCGCGACCCGCGACGCGGCGACTGTCGCGCTGCTACTAAACAGTTACGTGAGAAGTCGAAAACATAATAATTAATTAGTATGCCCCACCATGCAATATAAACACAGAAGTACATGTTCGCATTAATAATTATAAAAAATAGTGAAGAATAATATATAAAATCTTACCCCAAGAACACACAGAATGATGTGTAAATTAAACAAATTAATCTCAGTACTGCAGGCGAACCACAGACATATGAACACAATCAGAAATATTAGGACGTGGATCAATAGATTGATGGTCAACCTCACTGATATAAGACACAAATTCTCTCCTATTTTAGAAGAAGGAATTACTTTTTCTTCATTGATATGATTGTCAGTATTTTCTGTTGACATTTTGGCGCACGTTCGATACAGTTCGGACAATAGACTCTGAATGCTAAAATTTCTAAGGATAAATAGTTAAGTGGACTTATGTATGTAAACACTTTATAATATTGTTAAGATGCTTCTACGGGGAAGCAAATTTTATTCCGTTTTCTTGAAATTTTGCCTCCTTAATTAAATGTGAGTGAGTCTCACGTACAATTCCGAGTGTAAAGAGTAGATACTATTATTTGGTGTTTTGGGTTTTTCAATTTTAATACACACAGGCTGAATTTGCTGCGGAATATCCTCGTGTCGAGCACGCTGCTTATATATAAGAGTTCCAATGTGACTAGAAGTGGAAACTAATACAGGTTTTCTCGAATATTTCACACAAGTAAACCGTAATTTTAATTCCTTATTTTTTGCTATGTATTTAGCGGTTTTTATTTACATTTTTATTTAGATAAATGAAGTGGTCATGCATTTCCATGTAACCTTTATCTATTTGATGAACTTTCAAGAAGTAATGTTCAGTTTTATTAACCTTATAAAAATAGAACAGCTGGTTAGAGTTGGTATCATATTCTTACATTACACATTTGTACTTTTGCCTACTTTAAAGTAATAGGGTACATTCTAGAATTAAAAATATTTTTTTACAAGTACTATACTGCCAAACATTATTTTTCAAATGTATGAGCGTATTTGCAAAGTTGAGTAACGGAGATTCAATGTACCAGTCGAGTAAAATAAAATTAGGTTATTCGATTTTAAAATTTAAAGTAAGCTTAAATCTTGCATTTCTTTGAAATAGCTGACTACTTCTATCTATTTCTTTCTCTCTATTTTTCACTGCTAAATTCTCATTTATTTTTGTCATAGTAAACGTTTCTCTATGAACAAACCCTTACGATTTAAACTTCAGTAGTGAAGTGTAGACGTATTGATAACATTATAATCTAAAGTAGACGTAAAGTACACTTACGTGACTCAATGTAGAAGTGGGAAGAATTCCAACTAAGTACATAATTTATTTTTCTTTAATATGTAAACTATTTTAATTAGCTCTTGAAAACATTATCTGGACATTGGTTTCAAGGTAATTGTATAATAATGTTAGTTGACTGTGCCATGTACTACACAGTAAGTAGGTATGGGTGTATCTTCTTTATATATATAATTCTGCTGTACATACGTGTGTATGTCATTGAACTCCTCCTAAACGGCTTGACCGATTTAAATGGATTTTTCTGTATGCGTGCGAGTGGCACCCTGGATGGTTTAGATTCACAAATCAGCCCGGCAGATGGCACTGCTGTCGTGTCTTTTTTTTAAGGGGGGAAAATCATCGAATGACTGCTCCCGCCTGGGTGAGGCGGGAGGGAGTGGCAGACTCTTACTGACTAAAAACCACCCCGTTCCTTCTCCTGCACGTCGAGCCGGAGCCCCGGTTACCCGTTAGGTTCTCCACGACGCGCTGCAGTGTCTAGGTTAGTTATCCTAAACGGCTGAACTAATTTGAATGAATTTTGTTTATACATTCAAGTGGATATGCAGGACAACGTCTGTCGGGTCCGCTAGTATGTATATATGATAGATGAGTGCCCTGCGTAAGTATGGATGTCCTTTCTTGATACTGCGGGCTTGTACAGTGAAGTCACCTCTTAAGCAGCCGTACACACTTGGGTACCTGGTACCTTGTTATTCATACTTTTTTAAATAAAATAAAATAAACATTTTATTAAAGTATTTATTTCTATCTGTATAAAACACAGTATTAGTAGAGTTTTTGGAAATTCTAGATGATTGGATGAACTCTATCATATATCATATATTCTATCATAAGTGTGGGAGAGCCATGCTTCAGCACGAATGGGCCGGCTCGACCGAAGTCATACCACGGCCTAACAGAAAACCAACGTGAAGCAACGCTTGCGTTGTGTTTCGTCGTGTGAGTGAGGTTACCGGAGGCCTAATTACCCTCCCCTTCTCCAATCTTCCCAATTCCTGACCTGAGAATCCCCAACGATCCTCAAACTCCTAATCCCCAAAAGGCCGGTAACGCACTTGTAACGCGTCTGGTGTTCCAGGTGTGTTACCGTAATGGGCGACGCCGATTGCTTGCCATCAGGTGATCTGTCTGCTTGTTTACTGGCTTATGCCATAAAAAAGAAACATTAGGGGATAAAATAGGAAAATAATAACAACAACCAGTGTTTAAAGCTTATTATTTTTGTACATTGTTATATGCATCATTAGTACAGACAAAAAATTTAATAAATGGTAGTTACATTTTAGCGAAAACCAATTATTACATACATTACTGTGATGGTACAATGTTTTAACTAATACAGTCGTATAAATACTTAACAGCCAGTAAGTAAATGCACTATACATATAAAAATAATTATCTATTTACACAATGCGACTCTTTAATAATACAAAACTGACTCTTTGATAAACAGAATCGGTGTAATAAGTTATTATGAACACTGATGCCGGCGACACACATCTGCGAACAGCGCTCGGCGAAGCAAGGAACGTGCAACGTAAACCATACAATGTTACATTACCATCCCTTACCGACACGCTATCGAACACGTGTGGAGCCAGCATTATAGTTTCTATAAGTACATACCGAAGAAACTATTAGAACAATAAGAAATACTATTTTTGTTCTTAATCTAAGTATATTGCATAGCCTAAGTTGCATTACAAATGCAAGATGAACTGTAGTTCCAAACATGCTTACATGAATTAATCTCCTAAGTAATACAGTATAAGAAATTCGGTAAAATGCATAATTCCATTTTGTTACAGGCAAGTTATAAAAAATTCTACGCATACAAGTGCTCAACTCGATAACATGTCGTGCAATAAATGTAAATATATAAACGAAATGATTTTTATTATATTTTTTTTTCACTTTTATAATTTTGATAGTTCTACAGTTCACAGATCGACTCCATAACTCGACTAAACTGGAGATCACGAAACTATTCCTAATACTTACAAGAACTCGAACGTTTATTCACTTTTGAGCCGCGCGCACACTGCCATCTTTGTCAATGACACCTACCATTTTAGTGCAGAACACAATAAACATTGAGTAATTAACTCGATACAGAATTGAGTGAGTCATTTAGGTAAGTCAATCCGATAACTAGTCTTAGTCTGTTTCACTTTGGCTTGATTCAGACTTAATACTCAGTGCATTAGCGCTTAACCTTTCCGTACCTATTAATTGAAGCGAACACGTCCCACTTTCATCGTGAAAGGATTCATTGTAGCTGTGAGTATTTGATCGCGTTGATCAGTTACGGGCTTAGCGTGTGAGTTGGTGCGCAGACGGAGCCGCGGCCCTCGGCTTGTTAAACTTTACGTATTCTCACTATGCGTCCATTTTGTATCACAATACGTGTAATAGCGCCTTAGTGTTCAATGTTTGTACCTGAGGATGAGATAGACCCATTAATATTGAACGTAAAAAATTTTGGAAAAGCAATCCACGTTTCATTTTTCCTACCGTTTACCTGAAAATCAATAACGTCCTGAACTTAAAAGTAAATAAAATTAATAACAAAAGTCTTACTCCAACTATGATGGTTTACCGTCCGTGGCAGGATTTGCAACAGTAGTCGGCGTAGTACGGGTAATGGCACAGCCGAGCTTGCACTGCCAACGCGCAGTTATTCAGCTTGTCTATACATGCGCCTGTGATGGTAAAAGTCAAAATTAAATTACGTTGAAGGTGATCACTAAACAATGATTTGGGAATAAGGATTCTTAAATAAACAGCTAAAGTTTAGTAATGAAGTTACCATTTCATGGTATGATGGTACCCCACAAGAAGATGATATTGAAGTAATGATGAGTTATCAGGTTATGTAAGAACGATTGATGAATCAGGGAGAAAAAGACAATGATGTATTATATAAATGAACAAAAAGAAGTGAAATGTAAAAAAAGAATAAAGGTCTAGAACAACTTATTTACCGTCGGCGTAAGATCTGTCACGAACATTTTGTGCTGTATGGCTTTGGTGTCTAGTTACACGTTGTTGTGGATCTGAAACTTTACAACATAAATTTATACAATTTTAAAATCTTCTACTTTAAAGAGGTAATATAGGTCAATCTATCTGAATTCAAACCTGATGGAGGTGCATTCACAACCGCAGTCTTAACTGCTGGTCTTGTAGAGCACCGTGATGGCACACAAGAACGTTTAGCTGGAGGACGCACTCCCGCGCAGTCCGCGTCTCGCGCCGCGCCGCTAGCGCCCTCTGCACCACCGCGCGCGCACCATACTGTGCGAGATTGAACGCCAGCCTCGCATGGACCTTGGCACTGTAGAAAAAATCATAAATTGGTTTGAGAGACAATAAGGTAAGGTCATGGTTTTTTTCAATAATATTTTAAATGCAATGGACCACGATTTTACCACTGGTTAAATCGTACTAATCTATTAGGGGTAAATATTTTTGTTACATTATTAATAAATATCAAGGATTTTACGCTTTAATGTGTGCTTAATCTAATCCAATAGACTAATGTTCAAAGGCTTGGGTGTGTTGAAATGAATTAGAGAGCAAAAAATCTAGATGACGACTATCTATGAGAAAGTGTTTGATATGAAAGTACTATTAATATATCTAGTGTACACACGTGGTTAAGGATTGGCATTAAAATAACTTTGCACCCTTTAAGCAACATTGACAGCAACATCTGAGTTTCTATTGTCATTTCAATCAATTGCAATAACTTGATTGACAGTTGAATCGAGTCAGACGTCATCAATGATTGGACTGGCGACACGAAAATGACTCAGGTTTGGATTAATTAGAGAACTTGTTATATAGTCGTTGTTTTCATTAACCATATCAGGAGGGGCGGTCCCAGTAACACTGGCATATTTGGAATCATTGTCCTAATCGCCACGGACATTCCACTACATGAACCTTGACCTTCAATTCAAGAACCCATTCATGAAGTAGGAAATGGAATTAAGAAGCTAGAATAAATATGTCTATTAAGCACTAGAATAAAAATATAGTGTCTAGCTTTTCATTTGAAAAAATTACTATCATATAGACATAATTATAATGACTTGGGAAACATTATTATGCAGAATTTTCATTCACATTTCTGGTTGATTAAAATGTAACAATTCTTGGCACTCATTTTGTTTTATTTTTCCACCTCTAATTACCTCTTAGAGAGGTCGAGCCCTAAAATCGTGGACGAAGAATTGGCGTACTAAGTACATCAATCTAAGCGTTGAAGGTTACAAATTGCAAAACCACTAGCAGACTATACTTAATGGAACATTGTGGTTGCAATTATTTCCCTTATTTAAATTGATGGGTAGAGCCTCTGAATACAGGGTAGAATAATTTCGAGGTCTGTTGTTAGGCTTTGGGAACGTAAACTAGTCTCGTTTCGTAATTTTGGCACAAAGCGAGTTACCTATTTCTTTGTTTCCAAGATTCGTCCTTGAGATAGCCTTTGTAATTTCTAGTAGAGCTTTGTCTACACTTAATTAAGCCTGTTTCTAGGTGCCAAAAAATAACGTATATGTTTTATTGCTCTTTGTCCTTTTTAATAAGTAAACAAAAACGTCATCATTGTCCTCATATCATCATCATTGTTATTGCTGAGTTTGCTTGGTTATGTTAATAGGACCAATACAAACTTAAGTTTTGAAATATTTTTAGTTTTAACTCACCTCCGACCAATCACTGAGATACCATGAAGGACTGCAGGTTCCTCCACAAGCCTGCTCAGCATCAGGTTTATTTCCTCTGCACATGGAGTCTCGCAGTCTCCTGCCATTGCCTCCGATGCAGATGACACCACGCACTTGTTTACCACCACACGTAGCAGAACAAGCTGACCATTCACCTAAGAAAATTGTAAAGATATTACTTTGTGGGGTGAAAATTAAACGAATTTCAGAACGGTACTACGAAAGTCTCTTTAATGACAATGATTATGCATCTGCATTTAACTAGATATACAAAATTGAAAGTTGTAAAAAATTAAATAGTTTGCCAATATCTTACTCGTAAACCACTGTGCATCGCACTGTTTTCTGATGGAACAGGATTGTGTTTGTTCTGGCGCACGATGAGTTGTGCATCCATTAGGATCTACACATCTAACTCCTCGAGATTGCACACCTCCACCCACACACCAACCTACACACTGAAATATAGAACTTTATTAGGATGAACCACAAATAACAAATTCCAAGTAAATGTTAATATCACACCACGTTCGCAATTGAAAGATCTATTTTAATAACGAGGATTTTCGCCTAGGAAATTATAATTCCCATTTCGAATTTTGGCGTAAACTCATAAATACCTATAGGTTCGCACCCTTCTCACATTTAAGTCTCATTAATACCTTTGCTGGCAAGCACAAGAACACTGACCCTTTAGGGATTAAATATATTAGGCTATAAATTAGTATCAATAGGGAAATGTTTTGATGTTGAACTTTAATGGTCATTACCTGAGACCATTCTGTGTACAACCATCCTCCTCCAGCATTGTGGCTGTAGCTTGGTGCTGGTGTGGTTCCAATGTCGTTATCAGTAAAGTTTGTAGCGAGGGATATCACTGGGCCTTCTCTGAAATTGTCAGTTCGGTCCTTTGGTCGCACTTGACGCCTAGCGTCCAGTCGTGGTACAGAGGTCGTAGCAGCCGTGCCGTCGCAGTTTGGAATGTCACAGAGTTCGCTGCTTGGAGGCATTGGTAAGGGACATTTTTGGTCGCTTATCTGAAAAATAAATAATTGATTTAAAACAGTCACATGAAAGTTATTGAATTGTAAGATAACAAATAAAATAAATCTGTATGTATAAAATACCTTAGTGATTCCTCGCGCATGGTCCTGAACACAGCCTACAATTCGCGTCCTGTGTGCTGGTCCACAACCTGGGCAGGGTCCCCAAGCGGCCGCTCTCCATCGTGGAGGACATGGATTGCCTCCACAGCGACGTCGACGTGCTGGTGGAGGAGCACCAGTGCAGTGGAAGGGAGATACTTCCTTATCACCTTTCTCAGTCACTTCAGCACACTTAAACTTTCCGATTTGAAGTCCACCTCCACAGCTACGTGAACATTGCGAAAATTCCATAATCTTCCAAATGAACTTTCTGCTTCCGATAACATTGCTCTCAACTTGAGATTGACTTTCCAAATTATTGAAGTCTGGTATCTTCGACAGAGAAGGCTCGGATTTTGTTTCGAGGTCGCGCAGGTGTGGCTCGATGTTGTGATGCCGGTGGTGTCGTTGTGCCGAGTGGTGAGGCACAGGGTTGGCTGTTGGTATATCGTTACTAGTTTCGTCGGGTTCTAAGTCAGTTAAGTATTCGTATTTTATATTCGGATTTGGTTGCGTGTACAGGATCTGAAAAATAGTATAATTAGGACATATTCATTGAATAAAATGAAAACAAGATGTTTTATATTTTTGTACTCCAGACTCATACCATGATATCGATGGGGTGGTGTATGGGCCCGTGTGCGATGACGCTGTCGAGCGAGCCCTGCCGCGAGTACACGAAGCGTGCGCCCGCCGCCTCGTACGTACCCGCCGCCGACACCGCGAACTCACCATTCATTATATACGACCCATTGGATACTTTCAACGCTAAACAAAAAACACAATTTGTACCTATCGAATAAGCAAAATTAAACGAAAGTAATTGAATAAACAATCGTTGAACGAATTGTTGAACTCGACTAAATTGCTAGCGGCTACGTCATGCGAATAATTAACCACCAATTGTGCAGACGGCTACCTCCATTTATCTCACAATTTGCGGCGTAGGCGCCTCTATTGAAGAGTAGCGCCGCGGTGCGCATGTGCAATTCCCATTAATCGATTCGACATCGATCTTTGCACTACCAAACACTTCATCTCTCGATTAAGACATCTATTTGTGACTAGCTGTAAAGTATTTTGATTCTAAGAAATACAATTGATTAGACAGAGAACAATAAAATTGTCAAGTTTACCTATGTAGTTGTCACTTGGTGTCACTTCAGAGATGTTGAGTCTACAGGCGCCTCGAGGTACGGTAGTGACATAGGAGTATCCGAGTGGCAGGCGTGGTCGAGAGAACAGGCCTGACACCAGACGTCGACCACAGCGAAGCTCACGAGACGCGACCGATGACAGGACACCTTCGCGACCCACCGCCTGAGGACAAATTAGAAATGAATGACATTAAATACGAATATAAAATAAGTGGACGGTTCATACTTCGTTTTAAATATTATTAAAAACTCATAGTCAACTGCTCCATTCCCAAAAACTAGAGTTAATACAGTGTGCCTATACAAATAATGTAGTTTATTGATCACAAAATAAGGTTAATCGTACGTTAGATGTCATTGACCTTTGCAGATAGTTACTGATAAGCGGTGTGATAGCCCTACCCTCATTTCAAACACGTGCCTTGAATCTACATAGGTCTTAATAAAATCTAGTGAACTTTAAAGTTTATTTCGAGATGTTATCTGTTATCAGATCTATAAGGATAATCAGAATAGTAAAGGTCTTCACTTTATTCTTGTATGATGTTTTTGATGACAATGTAGCAAACGATTTATTGAAAAAATAATAAGAGACAAATAAAATTGTTATTGAATCTTGTCTTTAACCTAACGATTAAATAAAGTTCAGGGAACAAGAGTATAGTTCCCTAAGATCGGAAAAGGAGGATCCTCCGACCAGGCGAGGTGTTCGTGCCTGGCGGGCTTTCTGCCCAACAGATGTTCGTTGGGATTTTCTATCCGTGTTAATTTGCATGTAAACTTTGCATGTGCGGTGTAGGATTTTTGTGACATCATCCGTTGACATGTAGGTACCATGTGTCGCCACAATAGAAATCGCAGGCGTAATAGAGATCTATGAAAATCGAAAAACTTTAACAAAACTTTATTCATGATCCGCTCAAGTTTATCAAAACCGAAGATATTTAACTCGGTAGGCGTACTTTCTATCATTACGTCATAATGTAATCTCTAGCATATTATAAGTAACGAATGCAATTCGAATACACATGAGAATAATGAATACGAGAAAATAACGCAAGATCAAAATAAAGATAAACTAATAAATATTTCCGTCCAAGTACATCTAGGTACGAAAAACAAATAGAACAAATATAAAAGGACCTAACAGATCTCATGGACGTTAAGAGTAAAACACAATCTTTACGAGTATGTAATCTTATTTGTTTTTATTTCTCTTTGTGTACATGACGTACAAACGTTTGTATCAGACTGTGTATTTACTGTGGAACTTAATGAAAGTGTAGCCAGAAAATAACTTTTGTAGCTTACAACTGTACTGATCATGTTTGATTTTTTGTTCCTTCTATATAGCTATTGAAATGAAAGCGAACTAAATGTCGTTTACTGTCTTATACTACTAAACATACATAATAACGATCATATGCTTTTTGTATATGTCACGGAGAACCTAACGGGTACCCGGGGCTTCGGCTAGACGTGCAGGAGAAGGAACAGGGTGGTTTTTAGTCAGTAAGAGTCTGACACTCACTCCCGCCTCAGTCATTCGATGAGTTTGCCCCCTTAATAAAAAAAAATACTTTTTGTATGCAGTCTCTTTTGATTCAATATGTATTTTGATAACTTCTTCCTATTTTCGTATCTATTCAATCTTTTTGTATCTAGTGTTACATGTTTCAACTTACATTAAAGTCTACAAGACGTGACAGTTTGTCTCTATGCAAATCTTGTTGATTTTAAATCTGTAGTAAAGACTTGAGGTATCATCCTTCTAGTTCATTTCTTTAGTCTTATATGTTCTGGTCCTATTCAACTCAAAACCATCTAAATATAGAAATTTATCTTAAAGTAATGTTCAATCTCTTATATGAAAATAAACAGCAGCTCAATTATAACCAATTTCCCGCCCCTATCATGACGTGTAAAATGTAACATGCTTCTAGATATAATGCATTAGTCACAGTTTTATATGGAGCGCTAAGATGATTTACCATGAGTATTAAGTTGTCATTGTATTACATGGTTGTCTTGATAATCGGGATTACATCTCCATAAAATGCGGTTGAACGGTCATCAGCATCTTTAGAACTTTTCTCTTAATATAACATAACATAACGCTTTTTATCCCCGAAGGTGTAGGCAAAGGTGCACATTACGGCACTTAATGCCACTGTACAGTGTAACACCCATTTCACTTCTCCTCCCTTTTTCTCCTAGTCAACTATTGGATTAAATAAAAAATCTGCAAAAATAGGGTTGTCTAATATGCAGTAAAATAAAACAAAATAAATAACTAATAGTAAATCTTAATACTCTATAACATATTTAAAAAATATGCAGCAAAATATATAATACACCAGCGACCTGCCCCGGCTTCACACGGTTGCAATTAAAACCTCTACATTTATCAGTGTTTTAGCCAACAAATTACATCTGACTAATGCGATGGAAATCAAACAAGACGTAGTTCCTTTTATTTGTTTTTTGATATTAGATATATTTGCCTACATAGTTTTATAGTCAACTAGCAACCCGCCCCGGCTTCGCACGGGTGTCATCATCATCATCATCGCCTATAAATGCCCACTGCTGAGCAAAGCCTCTTCTCACACGGAGAAGGTTAGAGCATTAATCACCACGCTTGCTCAATGTGGGTTGGCGATTTCAAACTTATAATTAGAAATTATAAGTCCAGGTTTCCTCACGATGTTTTCCTTCACCGTTTGTCAGTGGTGTCTAAATAATCTTAGAAAGTACATATAACTCGGAAAAAGTCACATTGGTACTTGCCGTTGGTAGGTTTCGAACCCGCACCCTCATGCATGAGAAGTGGGCGTCTTAAACCTCCGGGCCACCACGACACGTTTTACGCACGGGTGTAATATGCATGTATTATACATATAAAACTTCCTTAAGAATCACTCTATCGATTAAATCCGCATCAAAATTCGTTGCGTAGTTTTAAAGATCTAAGCATACATAGGGACAGACAGACGGTGGATAGCGACTTTGTTTGATACTATGTAGTGATATAAAATATGTATCATGTGTAATAATCAAACTGTTACAAAAGATTCGCAGTTCATTATTCATCACATTGAAAACAAAGTTGTTCCTATCATAATTCAAGATATTAAGCACAAAGATGAGAGCACGGATGTCGGTAATTAGAGTAGGCCTATCAACAACAACCTTTTGTTTGTTAAAAGTTTTCCTAAAAGCATTCTGTTCTTGTGTTATCTTGATTTTGGTCCCTTTGTTTTGAAAGCCCATAATTAAATTTCTTGGCTTTACTATAATTCTTTTACGATGTCCATTTTGGTTTCCATTTGAAAATGTGATGTGGATATTTAATGAAGATTTCCATTCATTGGTTAGATTGGAGTAATGTAAAGAAGAACTCTCTTGCGTTCTTTTAGTTCGTCTCTCTTTTATTAGTTCTAGTAGTGGCTTTTTTTAAGGGCGGAAAATCATCGAATGACTGCTCCCACCTGGGTGAGGCGGGAGGGAGTATCAGACTCTTACTGACTAAAAACCACCCCGTTACTTCTCCTGCACTTCGAGCCGGAGCTCCGGTAACCCGTTAGGTTCTCCGCGACTCTAGTAGTGGCTAACTTTGTAATTAAATCTAGTTTCGTCATATTTTATGTTAATTAGGTAAGTTTGTGTCAATGTTCTACAAATATTTTACTGTCAGTAGTAAAAACAGCTGTATTCATTCCCATATTGGTGTAGTTTATAGAAACATAATACTCGTAACTAACCATATATGGCAACTAGTTTTGGTTCATCTTAAGTTAAATCTGGTTTGAAGGTTCAGACTAATATTTTATTACTGTACAAATATTAATAGAACTATTGATTTGTACACGTAAACTGGGTTTAAAGTTCGTGTAAATTATTTAGTATCGATGTATTAAATAACGGATGCGTTGATTAGAGAAATAAATTTTCAATTCACGGATGGAATTAGTTGAAATGTGAGCACGATTTCAAGTATTTATTTGCGTTTAAGATATAATGTTATTGAAATTTTCAATCTTGTTAAATGTTAATTTTATTGCACTATTAATCCCGTTTTAATAGCCCTCCTGACATACCTGAAATATTTGAACATTACGGATTAAACAACCAGTTAATATCCATATAACACACATAATGAGATATCGATAAGTGCCGAGTTCGTTCTCAAGATAAAATTAAATCTAATGTTGTAAACATTTACAATTCAAACAAACTTCATTGTGAATAATTGAAAACTTTTAACGAAAAACTGAATGAACATGTTTTTTTAAAAGCTGAACTAAATGTGTTCTTAAAATAATGGCACTAAGAGAAACAATAACATTGTTACATAATGTATTGGCTAGGTAAATATTGATAAACAGTAGTTTACATTATACTAATGCTGTAGTTAAACACGGTGGAACGAGACTATAAATAACCTAGTAAGGAGTACCTCAGGGTATCATCCTTCATCCAGCTTAGCTAATTGACAAATTGTACGATACCAGCATATCGAACGAGTGGTCAATGTTATAATGAAGATGTCTGATTAGTATTTCACGGAGACGTTGAATACAGATACTGACACCGTTAAGAAAATGTTCCAATCTGTTTGCGCAAGCGCTGAAGCTACCCTGCCAAGTCCGGCGCAGCCTTTGATTAACTTTTGTAACTTTGATCACGTATAACTCTCTCTGTTTTGTTAATCTTCATGCGTAGTGTGATGAAACATTGAGGAAATTGATTGCGACATCTTGCTAGTCTGAAATATCAAAGACAGAAGAACAGTACATTTACAGTAGCTAGACAACTAGTCATCAGAAATAACTATGTACTTACAAGTTGTTGCTTAGAACAAAACCGGATCACAAGGCCGCGAGGTCACATGGACCGGGGGTGGTGTTCTCAAACATCTGGCCTACATGCACTTACAAACGTTTCGTAATTATTAATGTGACACTAATGCATTTAGAGCATTAGGCGCTTCTAATGTGTAATTTTATGAGGTTACAGTACAAGATAAGGACTGCTAACATCTCACGTTGGGCAGACCGTCAGGCGACCTCAATGTAAGGCTATCTCTTAATTAAGTATGACATGAATCATTTTTAAAGGCAGTAAATGAACTCGCCCTTTGTGTACTGAACCTTGTGTTCTTAACGGGAGCGAGGGTGTCGACACTGATGTATGAGCCCCACGTAAGTGCTACTGAATCAGTTTTATTGCAGGCAATAATTTACTTAATCTAAAGAGGCGACTTGCAAGAGATAACTAACAAAGTAAGATGTGTTTTTATGCTGACACAAAGGTACATTATTTATTATTAGAGGGAACAAAGCCGACAGACGGGACACAGCGTATAAATCAGAGGGGCTCCCGATTCCTGATTTAAAGGTTCCGGTACACCATTTTTGTCCAACAATTATCAAGGCAAGCTTGCAATAAATTTGTCTCAAATTCAACAAATCTTTGGCGTGAGACAGGAGGGAGTCTCTGTGTGAATTTATAGCTGGATAGATGCTAATATGACTTACGAGAGGTCAATACTTTCAACTAAATATCGTTTATCTAATTGAGAGTGTTGAAGTAACTGTCACTGTGGTGGCGTCTCTCAATAAAAACCCACTCATTACTGTTTAGGTCGGCCGAATTCAGCAGGGCAGTTAAATGTATAAAATATGAGCGTTGTCACTTTGTCTTATAGTACTTCCACTTGAGCCATGAACTGTCTGTTCGTAAAAACTTTTCCAATTAAAGACAGATGCGTTTAATTGTTTGACAATGCAACCTAATTTGAGTTTGATTTGTACGCTGGTACCGTTAAAATGTATTTTAATTTATACCACACACGTTTCGGTTATAAAATCAATGTCTAAGGTTGAGACATTGATAGTAATGTACAACAGCAATAAACATAAATAACATTACACCTACTATTGCACTGGTATACTAATTGTGCACCTAATTCTTAAAACAGGTTTAATTGCGTTGTAATAGAAATAAAAATCTCATTGGATTTTCTTCAGTCTATATAAGCATTGTAAATGATTTTAACCACTAATCGATCGTTACAAATTTCAACAATCGATGATTAATTAGTATCGATTACTTACAAACTGCATTATGTGCATAAAGCACTAAAATGCGAGATGAAAATGATGGTATCAACGTAAGTAATGTAATTCCGAACGTTTATTTGAACTACGAATTGTACTACTTACAGAACCAGACTAGCCGACTCACATGTAGGTACACACGTGTATAGTACACACAATTGTACAAAGTTTGTATTTTCACTGTGCAATCACTTGTCTAGTCCA